TTTTATTTATTTGACTGATTTGTTTGAATGAAGTCATTTTATTTTGTTATTTTTAAAGTCTACTTTATTTTCCTTTATTTTCCTTCAACATTTCTTTAATTATTTTTAATATTTAATTGACTTATACATTTTTTATTTTTAAACGATGTTTTTTTTTAAATTGTTTTGTTTTTTTATTTCATTGAATAATTTATTTAATGTAACTTATTAAAAACAGATTTTATGAAGTTGATGCATTTTAATGGGTTTTCATTAACCTGGATTTCTCATTGACTTCATTTTATTTATTGAGTTAATTGAATGTTGTTCAGGTTCAGTTTATGGTTTAATTACATGTAATTTAACGATAATTCATTTAATTAACAGAACCAGCAGCTCCTACGTTTCCCATGATGCAGCTGTGCAGCTTCCGTCACTCTTCTGTCTCTGCAGGTGTGTCGGCTGACTCGGATGCTCGACTCCTCCTCCTCGTCCTCGTCTTCCTCGGCCGCCGCTCAGCTCGCCGTCCGCCTCGCCGCCCTGAGGAGCTCCATCGCCACCAGGCTGCCCCCCAGGGTCCTACTGCCCACCGTCAGCCGCTGCTACGGCACCATGGTGCAGGACAGGAAGGTAGATGAGCCTGAAAAATAGAACAAACAAAGGTTTTATTCATTATGTTTAATATTTAGTCGGTCCTGAAACCTCCAAACATCCAGTGGAGGAGTTCAGGTTGTAGAATCAGCAGCAGTTCAGTCCGTTAAATAAAGAAGTAAAGTCTCACGTGGAGATGAAATCAGTTTTTTATTTTACTTTATTTATTTTAACTGTACTTTGTTGTATTTCATTGATTCTGTATTATTACCATTATTATTATTAACTTGCTTTTATTTCATCTCACTTGATATTTTTGGTTTTTAACTTTTATTGATTTCACCATTTTACAGGATTTTTTATTTTGATTATTTTAGTTAAACAGTTTAATTAAAAGATCAGAAAACAGACGATAAATACAATCATGAAGTTACAATAAATGATCTATAAAATCAGTGAAACAGACAAAGCGAGGTAATAACATGTTAATTAATAACATGTTATTAACAACATGTTATTAATTAACATGTTGTTAATAACATGTTCATTTACAACATGTTAATTAACAACATGTTCATTAATAACATGTCAAACACCGTCCCTGTGAGGCTGTGTGATAATACAGAATCAGATTTTCAGAATAAGAGCCTGGTGTTGTTTCCTGCAGGAGCAGCTGGTGGCGCTGATGAGCATCCTGAAGGAGCACATTGGTCACATGGACAGAGAGCAGCTCAGCTTCCACCAATCAGAGCTCACCTCCTTCTTCCTCACCGCTCTGAATTTCCGCTGCGAGCATCACCAGGTCGGTACTCGAGTAAAAGTACTCTGTTACTGTGAGCTTCCTGTCAGCTGACCGTTTGTGTCGTCTCCAGCTGGACCTGCAGAAAACGTCGCAGATCGAAGGCTGCGTCATCGACTGTCTGATCGCCATGGTGATGAAGCTGTCCGAGGTCACGTTCAGGCCGCTGTTCTTCAAGGTAACGGCAGCGAGGAGTCGAAGACATCGCACGCTAATGTCATACACTAACGTTACATGCTAACGGCACATGCTAACGTCACTTACTACCGTCACACACTGACATCACTTGCTCCTGTCATACACTAACGTCACATGCTAACGTCACATGCTACCGTCACACGCTAACGTCACTCGCTCCTGTCATACNGAGGAGGAGGAGGAGGAGGAGGGTTTCTAACAGAAGCTCTGGATCATCTCTGCTCATCACGAGTTAGACGACAGAAGTTCTGAGAAGCTTTCAGAGCAGCTGGTAACGTTCAGGTTTTCTATTTCCTCTGCAGCTCCGGCGAAGCGTCCGGCCGGCCGGCGAGGAGCCCAGAAGAAGAAGGAGGATGAGGAGGAGAAGATGGAGGATCTGATCTTCAGCTTGGAGGCTCACAGCAGCAAAGAGCTGCGACACTTTAAGTTCCTCAGCGTGTCCTTCATGGCTCAGCTGCTCGGATCCAGCAGCTTCATCAGGAAGGTGAGACGACGAACGACGGAAACCCGAACAGACATCTTAACCTGTGAACATGTCAACATGTGAACATGTGAACATCTTAACCTGTCAACATGTGAACATGTGAACCTGCTGCCTCCATAAATGTGTGAATGTTTCAGGTGGCAGAAGGCGACGACGACGACTCGACTCTGCAGCCGCTGCAGCAGAAGTGAGTTCAGATCAGAACATCAGCAAACATGAAGACGATCAAATCAACACCCTGACTGATTGATTGATTGATTGATTGATTGATTGATTGATTGATTGATTGATTGATTGATGACAGGCTGCTGGAGGAGATCCTTCGCTACATCCACAGCGTCGCTCGCTGTGTGGAGGAGAATGCAGACAAACCCACAGCAAAGTTCTGGAGAGTTCTGCTCAACAAAACCTACGATGTTCTGGACAAGGTCGGTGTTGATTTATGATTAATAAACTCCTGCAGGTTCTCATGTTCCTCTGAAGCTCTGAGGAACCAGAACACAAAGAAGGAGAGAGAACTCAGAGACGTCTTCTGTCAGCAGGACTCAGTCAGAACCCTGGAGACCAGAGGAGAAATTAATCAGATAAACTTTGCTGATGACTCTCCAGACTTCTCCTCTCTGCTCTGCTCCTCAGATGTAGAAAGATGTTCCACCATCAGTAGAAAGATGTTCCACCATCAGNAAACAGGTTCAATAAAGTTTAAAACCGGTTCAATAAAGTTTAAAACAGGTTCAATAAAGTTTAAAACAGGTTCAATAAAGTTTAAAACAGGTTCAATAAAGTTAGAAACAGGTTCAATAAAGTTTAAAACAGGTTCAATAAAGTTTAAAACAGGTTGAATAATTAAGTATTAACAGAGTTATGAACTGGGTTAAAAACAAGTTTTAAAAGGTTAAAAGATTTTGGTAAAATCATTTTTAAAATTGCTTTAAAATCTGGTTAAAAACAAGTTAAGAACTGGGTTAAGTTCAGGTTAAAATCAGAGTAAAACAGAGTTAAAGGGATGAAAACACGTTAAAAAGGTTTCAAGCTGAGTCAGCCTTAAACTAAACTTCACTAAAACCCTCACTTGGGTCCAGTCATGCTGATGATGTGAGTCCTGTGCTGGTTGCTGGTCCAGATCTAGAGATCTAGTTTTCAGGCTCTTCAGGGTTCGTCCAGTCAAACTGTTTGTGTTTCCGTCAGATCGCCGTCGACGGTCAGCTGGTGGCCAACGAGCTGGCTCCTCCTCAGAAACCCACCGTGAGCGTGACGGTGCAGCAGACCCGGCGGAGCAGAATGGCCCAGAGGTTCCTGTTCTTCTGTTCTTCTGTTTAACAGCTTGTCAGGTTGATTCCTGCTGAGCTTCACGAGACTCTAACGGTTTGTGAAGTTTGGCGGGACTCAGTCTGAGAAGAACAAGTGTTCTAAAGCTGTTTTCTGCAGCAGGAAGCCTGCGGAGAGCGTCGGTCCAGAGGGGGGCGCTGTGTCCTGGCAGAGAGTCACTCTGATCCTGGAGCTGCTGCAGCACAAGAAGAAGCTGAAAAGGGCCCAAACGCTGGTGCCGGTTCTGTTCTCGCTGCTCGCCAGGTGACGTCAAACTTCACTCTGTCACCAGAAACACAACTTCTCACAGTGATGCCGTTAATTAGCCACCTGGGTTTAAAATTAATTAACAGGATCGAAGTTTGAGAGTCCAAACAGGACAGGAACCGGATCCGTCCAAAACCTGGGAAAGTCTGGTGCAACCATATCAAAGGTTCATGAGGCGTGACTTAGTTTTCCAGAAAGTTCACCTGAATACAGTGGAGTCTAGAATCCACCCAGAACGTCTGGCAGATCACCAGAGTGTGTGATGTGTGTCTCCAGACATGTTCCTGAAGAGCATCTGGTCTGAAATGAGGAGACATGTGAGTGAGCTCTGGTCATCCTGGAAGCTTCACCTGAACCAGACCGAGGCTAGAAATGTGAAAAGTCTGAATGAAGTCTGGTACTGTTTGATCAGAAACTAATGCTTCCAGACATTTAACCCAAATCCATTCTGACATTCTGAACATTTAGAATAAACTGTGTGCAGCTTAAACTCACTGTTCTTCAGAACTTTGACCAGAATACAATCTGCAGATAGAAACGTGTTTCCAGAAGTGTCCCCTGAATTAAATGCTGCTGTTAAATAACAGCCTCAGATTGGGACATTTTTAATGGACTCTGGTACCATGTGGTCCGGGTGTGTGCGCAGTGACACCAAAGGTTTTCCAGAAGTTTAGCCAATGTCTCGTCTGAAAGTGGCAAAATGTCGTCTGAAGCCTGGTAGTGTGGCTTCAGAGCAGACACATGTGTGCAGCAGGTATGAATCAGGGTTTTTCAGGACGTTCCACTGAGTAAGACCTGGTCCAGAAGCAGCAGGTTGGAATGAAGTCTGGTACCATCAGCTCCTCCTCATGTTTGTCACCAGGAGCCTGGAGCCGGGCTCAGCGGATCACACCAACATGGAGTACACCAAGCAGCTGCTGCTCAGCTGTCTGCTCAACATCTGCCACCGACTCTCACCTGACGGAGGCCCCGTGGCTGCAGGTGAGTGAAGGAGGCGGAGCCTGGCCTGGCTGCAGGTGACGAAGAGCTGCGGTCTGACGTCTGTTCTCTCTGCAGACGTCCTGGATGAGGAGAAGTTCAGCGTGGAGCTCGTGGTCCAGGTCATCAGAGCGTCCGACGTGCCGCAGACGCACCATCACGCTCTGCTGCTGCTGGGAACCGCCGCCGCCATCTTCCCCGTGAGAGCTCCGCCCCCTTTGTACCTGCTGCAGGTGACTGGAGCTGAAACGTCTCTCTGATTATCTTCTGTCTCCTGCAGGAGAAAGTTCTGCACAACATCATGCCCATCTTCACCTTCATGGGCGCCAGCCTGCTGCGGCTGGACGACGCCTACAGCTTCCGAGTCATCGACAAGACGGTGCAGATGGTCATACCTGCCCTGATCAAGGTGAGGCGGCGTCTGATTGGTCCGTCGGGAGACGATCAGGTGACGTGTTCTAACCGTCCTCTTCCTGCTTCAGGCCCACCAGCAGTCCGACGGCAGCTCCTCCTCCCACATGGTCGCCGTGGTGACCAGGATCGTGCACGTGTTTGTCGACGCGCTGCCTCACGTGCCCGAGCACCGGCGGCAGCCAATCCTGAGCCAGCTGGTGACCACGCTGGGCCCCGCCCACTTCCTCTGGGTCCTGATGCTCCTCCTGTTCAAGCAGCACGCCACGCAGACGGAAGGGTCGGCCAGCGAGAAGGTTGTTTACCTGTTTGTCATATTTTGTGTGTACTTGTGTGTTGGTGTGTAATCTGTGTGTAGTTATTGTGTATTTATTGTGTGCTGTGTGTGTCTCCAGGACGAGGCTCTGGACAGAGACGTGGATTTCTGGATTTCTCTGTGTTGTCACTTTGGTGTCAGCGATCAGCTGACTTCTCTCATCAGCATCCTGAACTTCCTGCTGCAGCTTCCAGACGACAAAGACGACGGTGAGACGACAGAAACGAAGCTGAGGAGGAGGAGGAGGAGGAGGAGGAGGA